TATAATTCATATGAGGATGGGGGAATACTTTTATAATTCATTTGTAGGTTCATCATCATATAATTTAGCTACAAACGATAATGAAATTAGTGAATCATCTCATAATTCTCATTCTAACCAACCAAATGCATATTATTCACCTTACCTAGAACAAAATCTAAGTTATGAATATTTTTATCATCATTTATCATACAACATGTTTCTTAATAATGATGTATCTTATGATGCACATAATGTGATATCTTCTTTATATGGAGTAGGAAGGAAGGACAATCAAGACAATAATGAAAATGATGTCGATTCAATGATTGAACTAGAAGATCTTTGAGGTAGAAGTCAAGACGTTTTACGTTAGATCTTTAAACTTTATAACATTTTTTTGATGAAATAGATATCCGGTTTGAAGGCAAAACAAAGAAAACTAGAAAATTTAGAGTTGAAAAGTCATTGCCATCACGGTAGTGGCACAACGACCGATGATAAACGACTAGATTTTGGAAGTTAAAGAAGAGAGAGAACATAGAAGGTAGAAAAAATAGAGTAAAAATGGAAGAAAAATGAAAAGTGAAAAATAGAAAGGACATATGGGCTTTCTGTAGGCGCCGAATATGTCATGTTTTGACCCAACTATCTAAGAGATTCATTTTTAATTGTAAAAAGAGGGATAATTGCATTTTTGTCCTTCTTAGTTTCTATCTTGTTTATTTTGTCCTTTTTTATTTTTTTGGCATTTTTTTTACCTTCTTAGTTTCATATTGTTTATTTTGTCCATTTTTTTTTGCTTATTTAGCCCCTAAATATTTATAGTCTTTATTAGGCCTGTAAATGAACTGAACGTTCAGCGAACCGTTCATGAACCTTGCGGCTGGAAGTTCGTTTATGTGCGTTTATTTATTAAATGAACAAACATGAACAAGATTTTGTGTACGTTTAATTAAATGAACGAACATGAACATAGGTCTTGTTCGTTCATTTACGTTCGTGAACGTTCAGTTATGTTCGTTTATGTTCGTTCGGTTATGTTCGTTTATGTTCGTTCGGTTATGTTTGTTTATGTTCATTCATTTATGTTTAACCCAATCTTCTTAAATCAATTTTGGTGACCAATTTGTAAGTATCTTAAAAATATTAATTAATATGATATTCTGATGACCAACTCCATAATTAACCCAATTTTATTTGAAGATTAAATCGAATATGTTAACCCGTGAGGCACCTCGCACATATATTCATTTTCCTCCTTTTTTTCCCAAACCCTAGTGTTCACTGGAGAGTGGAGATGATCGCTGAAAGCTTCAAAACAAGTTATATTATAGTGCAATCTGAAGTTTGACAGGTCTGTTTTCATCTCTTTCTCTGTTTTATTTGGCTTAATAGTTGATATGTAAAGTTATTGCGGGTATCTTCACATCTAAAACTCAAGAAAACATTATACTTCTTTCTAGAAATAGATGGGAAGTTAAAGGTAACAATCGGAAGTATATAAGCATCAGTAAAGAGAAAAATATATAGAATTTGCAAGAAACAAAACAAAGGTTTCTATGCAATTTCTGAAAAAGAGTGTAATAGCGGAAGTAATGAGTTTTCCAGGAAGAACCCATTAATAAATAGAAAATACACTTTGACAATGAACTTTTGTTTTCATAGTTCTTGACCTTTAGTTGTGGAGTAGACTTTAGGTACATTAAAATTTTGAATGGTGGTTTAACAATAATATCAGTTACGATATGTAACATCGAAGGGATTTCGGATCTATGTTATTGCCTTGTAGTCCAATTTGTACCGTTCGAAATCTTCATGCTGTTAAATTTTCTACTCTGCCAACGGAAAGGACCATTATTAACAAACCTCACTAAAGTCTGACATTGATGTCACAAAACTTTTAGTCGGCGAATTTATTAGAATAACGTAGTGGAAAATGATTGTTCATATGTAATCATGGATCACAAAGATAAATGTTATAGCATTAAATTAAAGTCGTGTAAATCATTTAATATCTTTAAAAGATCAATCGAAATATTTGATATATTCAAACATTTCATCAATGTTAATCAGCTCTTACGCTATTTATCACTGTAGATTTGGTTGATTTGCATTGTCGACTATTTTTCATGAAAGAGCAATGGAAGGTAGGGTCTCTAATGTTTATGTTCGTTTATGTTCGTGTTCATTTATGTTCGTGTTCGTTTATGTTCGTGTTTGTTTATGTTCGTTTATTTATTAAATGAACGAACATGAAAAGTTATATTCCTTAATAAACGAACATGAACAAAAAAAATTTTGTTCGTTTATGTTCGTGTTTGTTTAAGTTCGTTTATTTATTAAATGAACGAACATAAACATATCTCCGTTCGTGTGCGTTCGATTCATTTACAGGCCTGGTCTTTATATTAATTCACAAGATGGTACACCGGTGCCCCTACCTGATTCATAAACCCGAGGAGAAGGCATGATTAGTTCGAGCTCGAGTTAGTCCCTTATTATTATTATTATTATTATTATTATTATTATTACTATTTAATGCATCCAAAAATGGGCCCCTCACTCTATCCCAATCGTTTGGGCTCTGACATTCTCATACTTGTATCACTAATTATCATTTATTATTATTGTAGCTACTAATATTTTTTTGTGTTATAATAAATAAAAAATAAGCATAACACATAATAAATATATTTTTAAAATTTAAACACTGTTATCACGTCACAATAATTAACGGGGTGTCTCTTAATTTACCGGAGTGTTATCTCGTTAACTACTCGTGATAGGACATCTTTAACAAAATCACTCATGGTTTTTTTGGCTCACTAGGTTACGTGGGTAAAAGAATTAATCCATTAGGTTATGTCTAAAATTATTTTGAGATCTACAATAAGTTCTATAATACAAAATAAACTCGCCACGACCATATTACGAGGTGATCTCCTCACTAATCGATGCAATATTGTTAACTATTCATTAGGAGGACAACATTCACAAAATTTGTATTCATGCAAGCGATCCCATTTTAAAATGAAATTTGAATTCGCAACTTTTTAAAATTGAGACAACCTATAATTTTAAAGGATATTAAATTTGAGTATTGTGAGAGTGCTTTAATCTTCTTTACGTATAAATGACTCTCAAATCCAAAATTTTTCTCTGGTTTTACACGTAGACTTCACTACAAGAAAATATACCTTTAATGACACACGAACGATGACACACGCTAATTTATGACTTGCAAAATAGGTGTGTCCTAAAAAAATGTCATGTTTTTTAAAATCTGAATGATTTATGACTTACAATAATGTGTGTCATATTTAATAGTCATAATCTAAAAAATTTACAAAAACACGGAGAACACTTTTAATTGTGTGTCATCTGTAAAAGTTGTATTTTAATTCCCCCCATTATTTTCACCCTTTCCCGCTTCTTCCCCTCAATAACAAAGTTCACGCCGCACTAAGGGTACCGAAGAAGAGAACGTTCAAGAAGTTCAGTTTCAGAGGTGTCGATCTCGACGCTCTCTTGGATATGTCCACTGATGAACTCGTCAAGCTCTTTCCTGCTCGTGCTCGTCGAAGTTTACCTCTCGTTATTTTCTCTATTTGATTTTTTTCTTCTTCAATGGTTGTTGATTTTGAGATTTAGATATTTCATTTCTGGAGCCAAATTATCTCTTCCTGGTTGAGTTATTTTGGTACTCTTCATTTAAATGATTCACGAGATCTTGTAAACGCTTGGAGTTAATGTAATCTAGGACTCTTTGGATTCCTTTTAATATATTTTACAACTGACGTTTCTGTCTACAAATATTTTCAAAAGCTGAGACCTTCCAATTCCTTAGCTCTTTACTGGTTTCTTCAATAGCTTCCACAATTGAATCCTTCTTGCTTTTTCAAGCCTTGTTAAAAACAGTATAAAACTTTCAGTGGGTGAGCCATAGTGCCTCAAATCTGAAAGGGCGTTTCTCTTTTTCCATTTGTATATTTAAAGTAGTATTTACCATGATTTGATTGTGGTCCGAATAGAGTCTTAGAAGATTAACCATATGAATGTTCGAAAAAATATCCAAAATTTCAGCATTGTGGAGTGTTCTGTCTAGTCTCTCTTGAAGAGTCAATTGCCCCTGTATACGTCTAATCCAAGTGGATTTAGCGCCTATCCAGACTGCATCCATCTGTTCCACCTTTCTCTAAACTGAATTATGCGATCAATGTAATCTGTATTAGATCATTCTCTTTCCTCTATGGACGCAATGTCGTTGAAGTCTCCTATCATAATCCACAACATGTTTTTATTTGTGTGAGGTTGAACATAGGCAAAAGTAGTTACTCAACTTTTATCATCTTCTTGAACTTCACAGTGCACAAATTGATCAGTATTTTGACAAATTCTGACTTTTATTTCATTCAAGTTCCATAACATGACGATACATCCATGCATCCCTTGAGCAGAGACTTCAAAGTGCTCATCAAAGTTTAATTTCTTTAACATTTCATCAGCCCTTATGGTAGCTTTCGTCTCTAAGAGACTTATGACTTTGGGTCTTTCATTTCTTGTAAGATCTCTGCAATTGTTGACAAATTCAGAATTTCTCACTCTTCTGCAGTTCCAAGTGATCGCTTTCATTGTATCATTTCATTATTGGTGTCTCCTGAGGACCAGGATCGTTACTCTCGTGAGCATTCAAAATATTATTGGTATTTTTCATTCCTATTTCCATTTGTTCAGTCATGTGATGTATCTCCCCAATGGTCGTTACTTGCTCTTGAGACGTGCTATTTTTCATGTTATTGATAGTAATTGTCTCTTTCTGATTTGTACCATCCTCAGAACCTTGCATTTCAATGTCCATTGCCTCACTACTTGTACCCACTCTAAAAGTTTCTTTGTCCCTTATTCGAGGGCCGTAATTTTTTTTTCTTTCGGCTTCAAACTATGCGAATTTGTGTTCCTCGGTAAATAATTTGTACTCGTCCCCTGACTTGAATTTGTGTTCCATATTTTTACTGCAGTGCCGTGAAAAAGAAGTTGAAAGACAAACTAGATGAGTTTCAGGTTGGTCAGATTTAGATATTTTAAGATGTATTTTACTCTCATTTTCTTAATCTTACTAGGGTCTATGTACCTGCCATTGCAGATTCTTAGGGAGAGAATCCAGAAAGAGTATCGGGAGGTTGTTGAGCGACGTATTTTCACAGGTTAAGATGTTCATCTTATACTATTAGTTGCTATAATAGTGCATGATAGCTAATATTAATCTGCACCGGTTATTATGATTCCTAGTGATGGGCACAAGACCAGATGAAGAGGTATACTTCCCTTGCTATGTTATTAGTGACTCTCTGTCCTATTTAGCCTATGTCTGATTGTTGAACATTGTACAGACAATTGAAAGATTGATTGCAACTGGAGATAGCGAACAAATATTCGAGAAAGCAATTCAGGAGCAGGGACGGGGCCAGGTTTGACTTAATTTTCTTTATTTCTTCCTTTATACTAATAGTAGATAATACTTGTCTTTCATCCCTACACCCTTCCTTTTGTTTTGTAGACTTTATTGGAATGGCCGGATATATATATATATATATATATACTATTTTAGAGCTTTTTAAATTGAACTTTTATTTGGCTGCTTGGTTTCAGTAATCTTTTCTAATACCATCTCAAACAGGGACTGTCTGTGACTAGAAGAAATTGGTTATAGTAAATTAATTTTTGGTTCGTTTGCAGATAATGAGAACCGAGTTTGAAATTCAATAACGCCACGATGCTGTGCGAGATTTGGAGAAGATGCTTCTTGATTTACAGCAGGTACTTAATCAGCTTGTTGCCTTGTGGTGCTTCGATTTGATCAAAATAATTAAAATATCAAATTCGAACCCATACTTGCAAAACAAGAAATCTTAAAGGTCTTGTTCCTAAGCGTGTTTGCACTTAATGTCATGGCGAAAACATATATGCTACCTATATGAACTTGACTTTATTGTCCTTTATAGTGTGTGTTAAGTAGTTCCCCTTCTTGTCTAAGGTTCTTAAATTCTCATGTAAGGTTTCTATATATTATAGAACTAATGTGACCTTGGTAATCAGGTTGGTTGTGGTGCTGGAAATATTATATTCCGTCTAATTGCTACATACCCAGAGGTTGATCTATGATGTTCCGAGACTATGCTGTTGGTGACCTTGCTCAGGTTGATCTATGCACATATTGTTTAACACCATTTTAGTAAAATTAATGTGCTAAGATCTTATAATATGTTAGTATCTTCTTGTGATAATCTGAGAACATTCTTGATTTTTTGTTTTCAAATAGCCATATGTGATGGATATTATGTTTGTAACTTAATGTGAATATATTGTATGTAAATGGATTGCTTATATATAATATGATATATATATTTAATATTATGAGGCATTAAATGTGATTTAGTTTGATTATTTGTCAATCGACAATATATATATAACAATAATTTATAAAATACAATCACGCCACACGAATGTGTGTCATCTTTTTTAATGACGTGTGCTTCAATGACACGCAATGTAATTTATACATGCGTGTCATAAATTTATGACACACGAATGTGTATCGTCTTCATTTATGACGGGGGCTTCAATGACGCGCAATGAGCATCATAAATGCGCGTCATAAATTTATGACGCACAGTTGCGCGTCATCTTAAATTCATGTCGGTGACTTCAATGACAGACAAATGTGTGTCATCCGCATCCATAGATGACGCGCAATGCGCGTCATTAAAGGGATTTTTTCTACTAGTGCTTCCTAAATCATTTTTTATAGATTTTCAAATTTGTTTTACAAATGATAGTTTTTTTATTGTTGTTGTTGTAAGTACAAGACGACATTTATTTAAAGATAAACTTTCAACCTTTCGACATTGAGAGATCAAGGGTGTTCGAATCTGGATCCTCAGAAGTAACAACAAATGATAGTTTCATAAGTGTTTGGTCATACTTATAAAAATTCATCTTTTTTAAAAACACATTTTTATCAAAAAAATATTTATGAATCTAAAAACAGTTTAGAAACGACTACATGAGAACGATTTTTCTAGAGTCAAGCCATAAATTTTAAAAAAAGGTTGTCTCAATTTTTTTCAAATTTAAAATTTATTATTTCATCATTTTATAAAAAATATTAATTATGTCGGCATTCATATTGTGCAGTTTTAAGTAGTTTTAAAAGATTCAAAAAGTTTTTGGTTTTAAAAAAAGGCTAAAAGATATACGATTATTTCACATAACATTAGTTTTCTATTGAGTTTCGTCTCTTTTTTAGGGAGAGTAAATACTATGCTTTTGTGAGCTTATCTGAGTTGCTTAAGAGGTGCATATATCATGTGTCTTGGTAAGATTACACCTCCGTACAGTTATAAAGAATTATATTCTTCTTATTTGAACTCGGTGTGTAGACTAATTTTCGTCCATATATATATATATATTATTTAAAATAATACATGTTTTTGTTTTTATAGGCCTAAACATTTGGCCCAAAAGCCATTACAAGACTGCAACCCGTGGCCCAACAGAACGTCCCAGACCAAACAGTGGTCCAACCCGTTTCTAGACCCGTGACCCAATTCCAGTGGAACCCGACCCGAACCGGTCTAGCTAGGGTTTGCAACCCTAGCTTCCACCTTCCTCTTCAGCGTCACAAGTCACCCAGCAGCAGCCTCAACCATTTGGTCAAGCCATGTCCAAATTTTCTGGTGGTTTCCTCGGCACCAACCACCAACAAACAACAAAGCACAGTTTCATTAGGATTCTATTTGCACTAAAAATAGCATATTTCTTTTACTATAAATATTACATGTAAATCAACACATCAACACACACGATTTTACACGAGAGATTATACGAGAGATACTAAGCAATCGGAGCAAGAAATCTTGTAAACGTTTGAAAGTGAAAATAAAAAAGGTACCTTTTTACCTCGATTCGGTTCTTTTGGCCCTTGCATGTGGCTTTTCATCTTGTTTTTTTTTTTTATTTTATTTGCTTCAAACGCCTATGAACGAGGGGACGTTTTCGAGATCTTCTCTTTTAGATCTAGCCCTCCCGATGCATTTTTTTTTTAAAAAACCAAGCTCATATTTTGAAAAAAGAGAAGAAGATCTTTTGAAAAAGAAAAAAAAGTTTTACCACCGATGAACGACGGCCGACGAGACGGCAGTGGTGGTCGGTTTCTGGGTTCATCAAGAACCCAGGCGGGGGAGAGAAAAGATGAGAGAGGTTTGTGTTTAAAAATGAAGAAATGAATTTTTAAGCCAAAAGTTTGGCCTTTATACTCGACCCGTGCCCGACCCGCGACCCGACCTGTCAGTCTATCAGACCCGTGTGTTTTTAAAACAAAGGGGGGAATTGTAATTTTGGTCCCCCCAGTTTTTAAAGCTTTATTTTGACCCAAAATTCAATTTTCATGTCCATTTTCCTTTTAATTTAGCCCCTAAATTTGATTTTTATTTCAAATTAGCCCTTTTATTATTAATATACATATTTTTTATGTTTTTATTTTTATTATTTTTATTATTTTTACTATTTTTTATTTTTGGTTTATTATTATTATTTATTTTACTTATTATATTTTTCTAATGTTTTATTTATACGTTTATAGATATATATTGTACTTTATTTTATTTATTTTATTTTTATATTTTTACCTAATATTTTATATGTATATTATATATATATATATATTATTTGTTTTTCACTTATTTTATTAAATATTATAATATATATATATATATATATATATATATATATACACACACACACACATATATTTTACATACCTAGGCCCCCTCCCTTTCTTCTTGTCCCTTCTCTCTTTGACCAATTTTTTTTCTTTTTTTTTCTCTTTCGGTGAAATGATGGTAGTAGCCTAGAAGGTTAGGCTTGTTTATTTGTTTTTATTTTTTCACTCTCCTATTTATTATTTTTTTGTACATAATAGTTATATATATATATATTTATTTTTTTTCATTTTTTTCATTATTTTTTCTTTCTTTCTTTCTTTCTTTCTTTCTTTCTTTTTTTTTTTTTTTTTGTTTTTTTTATTTATTTTTTTTTTTTATTTATTTTAATTTTTATTATTGTTTTTTTTATTTGGTTTTTTTATATATATTTTGTATTTATTTTCTTTTATTTCGTGACACTTTTATAGTTATTATCTTTTTTATTCTGTATTTTACTTTAGCTAATATTTTTTCTGACTTTTTTTTAAGGTACACTTTTAAATCTATTAAAGGTGAGTAATTCGAATCGAACTTCTACCTTTTAATTTAAACTTTCAAATTTCTTAATTAAAGATAACTGGAAATTAATTAGTACCAAAAGGGCAGTTCAAGGGTGCTAATCCTTCATTGACTGTAACCGACTCCCGAATCCGACATATCTTTGGCAAGATGCAGAGCAGGTAAGAAATCGATGTATCCGATCAACCTATTTATTTTAAAATAAATGATCAGTGGCATCTCCAACACATTTCATTCAAGTCGAAGCCCAAATTCGGGCCCACTCAAAAGACGGTTCCGACACTCGGTCTACGTGATCTTAAAATGAATAGGAAATGAGGCTTTATAATCTTAGTAGGAAATAGAGGGGATAACTCTTGTACTTATCTTAGAAATGGGCATCATGTGATGAAATTATGGATGGCAAAAGGGTATAGTTTCGTGGATTTCGCATATCATTCCTCTGATTGGAGCTGGGATAGATATAAGTTTAATGGGTAGTGGGCGGGTGTGGATGTAAAAATTTATACCCACTGTGAATAATGGGTAGGTGATGGATTTAAGACCTTATCCGCTCCGCATCAGCCCCCACTAATTACTCACCATATAAATTTTGGATCATTATGAATTTAGGTATAATTTCATATATTGTTATACAAATCTTAACATTTTATAGGACATGGCTTGTAATTTAACCAAATGTTAGAGTATAGATTCAATTAATCATCAGTTTATTTTATTATGCTTCTTAATATATGTATTTGTTTTATATTTTGTTACTCATGTAATCTATGAGGTTGTTGCTATGCAGGTATTAACGAGTACAAACAAATACGGGATGGATGGTGAGTATCCAGTTGGATAGTGGGTGTGGAAGTGAATTTGAGAATGTACCAACGTGAGTGAGTATGGATTTAAAAATTTTACCCATCATAAATGATGAATAGGTGATAGATATGAAAATATTAGGTGGGTATGGAGATGAGATAAGGGGTATCTACACATGCCCCGCCCGTTTACCATCCCTAGTTGAACCTTAGGAGTTCACCTTCAACTAGAACCACCTTAAACCTCTAACCGTTGGCAGTTATTGGAATAAATTCATGTTAAAGCTCTTAGCCTTTGTTATTTACTTGCTGTCATTTTTTAATTTAACAAGGCTAACAAGTAGAAAGCATGTCCAAATAGGATCGTCAATAAAGTATTTAGGTAGTTAATATGTATGAATAGGATTTATTTACAATCTAGCATGCCTT